AACGAGCTGAGACCGTGGGTCGCCTTTCCGCACTGTCTGGTTGTGCTCCATTATTTGCGAGCTAAGTTGTCGCCCGGTCTGCCCTGTATGATGGCGAGAACAGTCACGACATGGTACTTGGTAAACGACACCAGACTTCTCATCTACATCCAGTCGGTCTTTTATTTGCATGATTCAAGAGCGCATGGTAGCCGTTGGACGATGAGCGATACCCACGCCGAGCTCTGCAGCGATACGTTCCGTTGCTTCTGACAATTCTTGATGTACGGCAGAGCGTGCAAGAGTGTTGAAGGTTCTCCTCGGTTTGTTCCCCGAGAGCGTCTACGGAGGCAGCGGCTGATGAAGCTGTTCGGGCATCCATTCTTTGCCAGGCGGTATTGTCGTATTGTTGCTCTATGAATGATGAGTGAACTGGGGTAGAGAGGCGCTCACTGATCGTGGTAAGAGACACACTCCTCCCGTTGGGCCTTGAAACACAGTCTCGGACCCCGTCAACAGCCACACCATGGCTAGCGACTAAAAAATAAACAAAAAACAGATTCCCAGCAAAGACCGCGGAGACTGGAATGGCCAATTCTGGATTATTAACAGTTATCAGCCAGCCATAACCAACCCCAGCTTTTGCGCTAATCGGAGACTAGAATCTGCACCTCGTTAATTAGAAGTCCAACGCTTTAATCATTGAGTCGCTGGGCGGCTGTTGGCGGGACGCGTGAGTGCCGTTACCGATCGGTGAGTGCCTACACATCTAAGTGTCCGTTTCGTTCGTCAGTGTGGATATTAAGTGATTTAGCATATTTAAAGGCATGCGCTTCGCCGATTTTATGTCACTATCTAGCGCAGAAGTTAGGGCCTTCGGCTCATAATTTGTGCCCGGAGAAAAGGCCATGCACTGAACCAATACGATGGCCAGCTCAGGATATGGCATGCGTTATTGGAGATGCACACCCATAACAACTGCTCCTCCCCTCCCCCCTTGGGAGGATATGGTGCTACGTGAAGGCGCAAGCGCATCCTGTGCCAGCTACCTGCGTCCGATTGTGTTCCTGTTTTCTTGACTCAGGTAGTTGCGGAAGGAGAGAGTGAGGTTAACTGAATGCAAGTCTTCTATCACACAAAACAAAATTCACACCGAGATTACTGTCCGTGCGCCTACCACCGTCGACATCAAACTGTCGGAGCCCGCCTTACCTTCTGTGCTTTCCGGTGTATAATAAAATTTGTTT